AGAAAAATAGAATCCAGTCTAAGGGCCAGGCAGGCTCAGGCAACGCATGAGCAGGCTGGAGGCGAAACAAAGCGTGAGAAAAATTGTAAAACAGGGCGGAAGTTACATCCATCCCGAATGCAAGCAGAAGCAGCTCTGCCAACGCTACCTCTATATACATATATACATATATACACACATACACACATACACACACACACACACACACACACACAAAAGTGTCAGGAGGCAGTAAACAGGTTCATCCCGGCCCAAAGGGAAAAATCCGAGAAGCAACAGAAGAATCCATGGTATAATAGGGCATGTATGGAAGCGAAGAAACTGAACAAAAAGGCGTGGAGGAACTTCCGGAATAACAGAACACCAGAAAGCAGAGAGAGATACCAGAGAACCAGGAATGAGTACGTCAGGGTGAGAAGAGAAGCAGAGAAAAATTTTGAAAATGATATAGCAAACAAAGCCAAGACCGAACCAAAGCTACTCCACAGTCACATCAGAAGGAAAACAACATTGAAAGAACAGGTATTGAAACTTAGAACAGGCGAGGACAGGTATACAGAGAATGACAGAGAGGTGTGTGAGGAACTCAACAAGAGGTTCCAGGAGGTCTTCACAATAGAACAAGGTGAGGTCACTGTGCTAGGAGAAAGGGAGGTAAACCAGGCGGCCTTGGAGGAGTTCGAAATTACGAGAGAGGAGGTCAAGAGACACCTGCTGGATCTGGATGTTAGAAAGGCTGTTGGTCCAGATGGGATCTCACCATGGGTACTGAAAGAGTGTGCAGAGGCACTTTGCCTGCCACTCTCCATAGTGTATAGTAAGTCACTAGAGACGGGAGACCTACCAGAAATATGGAAGACGGCGAATGTGGTCCCAATATACAAAAAGGGCGACAGACAAGAGGCACTGAACTACAGGCCAGTGTCCTTGACTTGTATACCATGCAAGGTGATGGAGAAGATCGTGAGAAAAAACCTGGTAACACATCTGGAGAGAAGGGACTTCGTGACAAATCGCCAACATGGATTCAGGGAGGGTAAATCTTGCCTTACAGGCTTGATAGAATTCTACGATCAGGTGACACAGATTAAGCAAGAAAGAGAGGGCTGGGCGGACTGCATTTTCTTGGATTGTCGGAAAGCCTTTGACACAGTACCGCATAAGAGGCTGGTACATAAGCTGGAGAGACAGGCAGGTGTAGCTAGTAAGGTGCTCCAGTGGATAAGGGAGTATCTAAGCAATAGGAAGCAGAGAGTTACGGTGAGGGGTGAGACCTCCGATTGGCGTGAAGTCACCAGTGGAGTCCCACAGGGCTCTGTACTCGGTCCTATCTTGTTTCTGATATATGTAAATGATCTCCCGGAGGGTATCGATTCATTTCTCTCAATGTTTGCGGACGATGCTAAAATTATGAGAAGGATTAAAACAGAAGAGGACTGTTTGAGGCTTCAAGAAGACCTAGACAAGCTGAAGGAATGGTCGAACAAATGGTTGTTAGAGTTTAACCCAACCAAATGTAATGTAATGAAGATAGGTGTAGGGAGCAGGAGGCCAGATACAAGGTATCATCTGGGAGAGGAAATTCTTCAGGAGTCAGAGAAGGAAAAAGACTTGGGGGTTGATGTCACGCCAGACCTGTCTCCTGCAGCACATATCAAGCGGATAACATCAGCGGCATATGCCAGGCTGGCCAACATACGAACGGCATTCAGAAACTTGTGTAAAGAATCATTCAGAACTTTGTATACCACATATGTCAGGCCAATCCTGGAGTATGCAGCCCCAGCATGGAGTCCATATCTAGTCAAGGATAAGACTAAACTGGAAAAGGTTCAAAGGTTTGCCACCAGACTAGTACCCGAGCTGAGAGGTATGAGCTACGAGGAGAGACTCCGGGAATTAAACCTCACTTCGCTGGAAGACAGAAGAGTTAGGGGGGACATGATCACCACATTCAAGATTCTGAAGGGGATTGATAGGGTAGATAAAGACAGTCTATTTAACACAAGGGGAACACGCACAAGGGGACACAGGTGGAAACTGAGTGCCCAAATGAGCCACAGAGATATTAGAAAGAACTTTTTTAGTGTCAGAGTGGTTGACAAATGGAATGCATTAGGAAGTGATGTGGTGGAGGCTGACTCCATACACAGTTTCAAGTGTAGATATGACAGAGCCCGATAGGCTCATGAATCTGTACACCTGTTGATTGACGGTTGAGAGGCGGGACCAAAGAGCCAGAGCTCAACCCCCGCAAACACAACTAGGTGAGTACACACACACACACACACACACACACACTCACACACTCACACTCTCTCTCTCTCTCACACTCTCTCTCTCTCTCTCTCTCTCTCTCTCTCTCTCTCTCTCTCTCTCACTCTCTCTCTCTCTCTCTCTCACTCTCTCTCTCTCTCTCTCTCTCTCTCACACTCTCTCTCTCTCTCTCACTCTCTCTCTCTCTCACACTCTCTCTCTCTCTCACACTCTCTCTCTCTCTCTCACACTCTCTCTCTCTCTCTCTCTCTCACTCTCTCTCTCTCTCTCTCTCTCTCACTCTCTCTCTCTCTCTCTCTCTCTCTCTCCCCCCCCCCTTTCCGCACTCGAACTGACATATGTGGAGTTGCAGCCCCATCTCAGCAGGCAGCGGCTTGCCTTGCTACTTTATCCTGCAATATTTAGACCCCAGTTCGGGTGTCCAAAATACCCTCTTGAATGCCAGCATTAACAGTGTAAAACTAGGTTGAATGAGCTGGTGCTAGTGTGGAAAGATTTTGATCGTTTGTTTATCTAGTTGGAGAAATTCATTCGGCAATTCTTAAGGAAAGTTCTCAAGTCTATTTCAGCCAGCAGTGGTCTGTTTTTTCTCATTGACTTTTTAGCTGCTTCCCTGGTGGTTGCATAAATAAATGTCACTGCTCCCCGAGACTCTGTGAGGAGCCAGTTTCTGGCACTGGTCCCTGATAGGCCTACAGAACTCCACAGCTGATGTGACGTTGTAGTCAGCACACACTGAGTCATAATAGCTTCAAGGAGCCACTGGGGCTCACCCAGAAAGTGGCATTTCATTTAACGCTGGTTTTTGTGCCCCCAAGTACTTTTTTTGTTACACAAGTACTTGCGAACGTGTACATCTTTCCTCAATCTTTCATGACTTCGGTTACATTTATTAAACAGTTTACAAGCATGAAAACTTTCCAATCAACTGTTGTTATTGTTATAAACAGCCTCCTGGTGCTTCAGAGCTCATTAACTGTTTAATAATTGTAAACAAAGCCACCAAAGATTGAGAAAGACGTACAGGCTCGTAATTGCTTGCGGAACTGCTTCGTGAATCTGGCCCCCTCCCTCATCTCCTGAAAGACACAGCTGTTCTGGAAAAGGTGCAACACTGGGCAACAAAAATCTTACGAGAGCTTAGTCATCTCTCGTATCAGGAACAGTTGAGGGCCAAGGCATAACAGGGCAGATCTAATAGAAACCTTAAAAATATTAAACAATTTAGACGATGTCAATCCGGACATTTTCTTCAAAAAGGTCAGATGTAACATGAACAAGGAGCAATGGGTTCCAGCTCAACAAGCCACAATGTAGGACAGAAAACAAGAGATGCTTTTTCACCCATAGTGTTGTAAACCTGTGGAACCACCTACCCGCCAAAGACAAACGCCAAAACTCGGCTGGGTTTTAAAATACAGATAAAGATCATCCGGGCAAATGGAGGAACCTTTGCCAAGCCAACAGCTTCCTATCCTCATTGAGGCCACTAGTATTAGTGGCCCCTCAGGTAAATTCAGAGGAATAATATTGAGCTAACTAATCAGGGTTGGAAATGGTGACCAAGCAGTTGTGTGTTTTGCTGCACTATATTCCTGGTGGATTTTTCCCATTGGTTAATGACTTGAGGCGACGGACTGCACAACTCTTATTTCTACGGGGATCTCCAGTAGGAGCTCATGGGCAGCTTGTGAAGATACAGAGCAAACCCTCCACAGAAAGCAGCTTCAGTATATTCAAAGCTGGATTTTTCCTTCATCCAATACTGAATCTTAATCCTAGTTATATAGGAATTTTCATTTATTTAAATGAGAAATATTTATTATACAAAAATTTGGGAGACTAAAATCAACATTCCATTATATCAAAGGTATAAATAAATCTGCAGCCACATGTTGGACATAAACCATAATACTTCAACTGACATCTACCACACGTACATACACCAGGTACCAAACTCACCTGACATGGACCACATGTTGTACATACACCAGGTACCAAACTCACCTGACATGGACCACATGTTGTACATACACCAGGTACCAAACTCACCTGACATGGACCACATGTTGTACATACATCAGGTACCAAACTCACCTGACATGGACCACATGTTGTACATACACCAGGTACCAAACTCACCTGACATGGACCACATGTTGTACATACACCAGGTACCAAACTCACCTGACATGGACCACATGTTGTACATACATCAGGTACCAAACTCACCTGACATGGACCACATGTTGTACATACATCAGGTACCAAACTCACCTGACATGGACCACATGTTGTACATACATCAGGTACCAAACTCACCTGACATGGACCACATGTTGTACATACATCAGGTACCAAACTCACCTGACATGGACCACATGTTGTACATACATCAGGTACCAAACTCACCTGACATGGACCACATGTTGTACATACATCAGGTACCAAACTCACCTGACATGGACCACATGTTGTACATACATCAGGTACCAAACTCACCTGACATGGACCACATGTTGTACATACATCAGGTACCAAACTCACCTGACATGGACCACATGTTGTACATACATCAGGTACCACTCACCTGACATGGACCACATGTTGTACATACATCAGGTACCAAACTCACCTGACATGGACCACATGTTGTACATACACCAGGTACCACTCACCTGACATGGACCACATATTGTACATACATCAGGTACCAAACTCACCTGACATCTACCACATATTGAAAATTCTCGGAGTTCTTTCTCTATGCTGGTACAGGGAGGATATCGACATTCATAATAACAATCTTCCTCCTCCTCCACCACTTCACCATTGGCATTAAAGTATCTTGTTACGACAAAGTCACCATATTGCTGTAAAATATAAATACAGATAATTATGATGCCAATTTATGTCAATGATGATGAGTACATGTTCCTTATTTAACATATCCATTACAGTGAACTAAAAAAAACACATTTTAAAACCCAGCATTGAATGTAATGAAATGTCAATATCTGAGTAAAGTGGCTCGCAGAAGCCATCTTGCCGAGATGGCTCCCAACTATTAGATTTCATCAGTCACAGTGTTCAGATCGCCCTACTAGAGAACAGGGCCAGAACCTGGCCCCCTCACAGAGGCACAGGTGACACTGCTACCTCACCAGGAAATGGCACCCAGAAAGTCAGCAAATCAATACAGACCAGTGCTGGGTTCAAGAGAGTGAAGCCTCAAGCCAGCAAATGAACTCCCCCTAACAATGTACAGAAATAATCGAACCTCACAAAACACGCATGCACTCTTTTGCCCCCACCCACCAAAGAAATGTCGTCATTTTGACCTCGCCAGAAGCAACCCACTTCAAAATGACCCAATGAAGGTGAGGGAAAGAGGCCTGCCCTGAAAAGCCCCGCCTCCTGGAAAGGTGGAGGGGCTGACCAACTTCACAGCAGGCTGCTCAAAACGACCAGGAAAGCCCACAAATTGTGGGATCAGGAGCAGGCAAACCAGGCGAGCAGCCTCAGCCCCACTGCCATATCAGAGGGTCAAAATGTGAAAGGGCTCGTGTGAACCATGAGAAGTAGGAGCCATCTGTGAAGTGCGAGCATGGCACCAACCAGCATAGGACAAACTGGCCACAGGAGGAGTATATGACCCAGATATCGGCTCCATTAAGGGCCTACCTTGACCAATAGCAGTCGACGCCCTAGCCCTACCCGATTGCCTCCAGGAGTGTAGAATGCAGGCACTGCCTCCCCGAGCATGGGTGCATAGAGATATGGGAAAGCTACCAATGCCACCACAGTGAACCCACACCAGCCAATGAATCCATACCAGGCACAGCCAAGCGACTCAATGTTTCCATGGAGCCACTAAGAGTGGAGTTCCACAAGGGGGCAGAAACTGTATGGCTGAAGCCAAATGGGAGTGAGCTCAGAGTGCCCTGCTACGAGAGTCACTGACAGCAAAGGCACTTGCGCATGGGACTGCAACAAGCACACATCCTGGGAAAGAGCAGGAGCAAACAAGCAGTCACTGAGTGGCCCAAAATGAGTGCTACCCAAAAACATCTGAAACACAAGTCACCCCTTCATGCCACTCAAGCTTGCGGAGCAACAAAAGCTGTACCAAGCCCCGAAGGAAAAAAAGGATTGTCTGCTAGCCAGGAAGACTCCTGGAACTTGTAACACATCCATGAAGGGGCAGAAAATCCAAACTCAAGATGGGCAGGGTCTATTAGAGGCAAACCCCAGATCACACAGGAGGTACTTTAAAGACCCTCATGAGCTACCGATAGAAGGAATCAGAGGAAGCAAACCTTTGCAAGGATGGTTCCATCGGGCCTAATGGCCCCCGTAATTGACTTTCCCCACAAACATGGGGAAAAAGTTGTGTAAAAATGCAAGGTGCCAGATTCAGCCCAAAGGAAGAACCCGAAAGTGGGAAACCAATTACCCCATCGTGAACTTAACCAATCCATTGAACCTCGGATGCATGGGGACGTGCAAAAAAGCATCCCCGAAATCCAAGGAAAGCATCCAAGAGCGCAGCTTGAACACAAGCTGGACCGAGAAAATGTGGTCATCTGAAAGAAGGGACAAGAGATCAACCGGTTCAGATCAGATAAGTCTAGGATGTCCCGTAAATCCACACAATCCCGTTTCGGGACCGGAACAGACTAGAAACCCAATGAAGAGATGAGGTCATGTCGACTATGCCCAAACGAACCCACTCCGAGATGACCCAACAGAAGATGGGAGAAGAGTGCATTCCTAGAGGGACTCGAGCTTTCCTAAACTCTTTTACACGGAAGACACTTCCCTCCACACAAGTGCACGGGAACAAAAGTCACAAAGCCCCAAATGAAAACAAAGGACAGTCTGCTAGCTAAGACAACTCTGGAACCTTGGAACGCACCGAATAAGGGGAAGAAGAACCACACTCAAATGAGGCTGGATCCAACTCCGAGGTGCAAGCCGGAACACACAGGAGGTAAGCACCAAATGATAGTGAGTGGTGTCCCAGAGAACATAAAGGTATGGTGCTTTTGAAAAATATGCGAGATAACAGGAATGTGCCAAGGGAAGTGAAATAGTGGACGAGAAAAAGTTACCCCTAGTGTTTACAGTGCAGAGAACAACATTCAAGATGGCCGCCTGCAAGAGGAAATACAAAACGGAGCTTGATTTTGCTGGATTCAGTGAAGAAAGCATTGAGATAACCAGTCTATACATCAAGGTGGTAAAATTAGATACTATTGTGACCTCTCATGTAGAAATAATTAGTAAATTGAAAGAAAGTAATGTCCATTTAAATAGCAAAGTTGTATGTCTTGAGGGTGTAGTGAAAGACTTGCGCAAGGATAAGATTCAATTGGAAACTAATTGCAAAGCCATGGAAGAAGAAAATAGACTCTTAAAAATAGCTTTGGAAGAAGTTAAAGTAAATTTAAACATAAATGACTACAATAGGTTAGGTAAGGAATTTCAACAGGAGAAACAGCTTTTGTCAGCACAGATGGAGGAAGTTACACAGGGAATAGAACAGTGCAAGAAAGATGTGCAACTCACTTATGCACAAGTGGCCAAGGAGAAGGAAAAAATAGAAGAAGCAGTAAAGGAAGTCAAACACTGCAGCAACCAAAATAAAACAAACATTAGGCTAGAAGTGAGGAAAGAATTGGCATCTAACCCGAAGTTGGTGCAAAACACAGTTGATCGGAGTAAGTCCCTGATCATTTTTGGCTGCAAAGAAAAGGAGATAACATCTAGGTCAGAAAGAGCTGTAGAAAAAGCAAAAGTAGTAGATAAAATTGTTGGCCTCGTGGAAGGTCTTACAACCATAGAGAATGTCTGCGACTATAGGAGAATAGGCAGATATGTAAAAGGGAAAGATCGACCTTTGAGGATCACCCTAAATGGTACCAAACAGATGGAAGAAGTACTAAGGAATGCTAGAAAATTACAAAGTGATGAGGATGGGAAAGTGTGGTCGTTAAGACAAGATCTTTCAAAAGAAGATAGAGGGAAGCTGAAACTGAACCTCGCCGAGGCAAAACGTTTAAATGAGAGCAGAAATGAAGAAGAAATCAATTCTTTTTTCTACAAAGTGATAGGGGTAGGCAGGCCAGTAAAGTGGTACATAAAGGCAAACCAACAAAATCATTAGAGAAAGGGGGAGTGAAAAATAAGAAGAGGGGGAACAAGTTCCTCAAGATTGCATACACCAACATAGATGGAGTAAGATCAAAGATACTGGAGTTAAGTGATATAATACAGCTGCAGACACCAGACATTGTTGCAGTCACGGAGACAAAACTTGAAGATGCTATTTTAAATGAGGTCATATTCCCAAGGGGCTACTCAATTTGGAGACGGGACAGAAAAATCAGGAAAGGCGGTGGCGTTGCTGTGCTGGTGAAAGAACACCTAAAGGTGAACGAAATAGTGACTGCCAATCCACAAGAAGTTGACATAATACCACTAGAGATCTGCCATGAAGATGATAAACTAATGATCATAAATGCATATAGTCCACCGCTAAGCAGCACATGGTCAAAGGAGGAGCTAGATAGTAAACGAGAAGGTCTTATAACAATAATGAGAGAGATCCGCAAGATCCGTTATCCGCAAGAGCGGATAACGATAGTTCACGACTGTTGATAGTCGGCGACTTCAACTTGAAATCCATAGACTGGGAAGCATGTGAAGCTAAAACAGAAGATTTCTGGACCTGTAAATTTGTAGACCTCATCCTGGAAACATTCTTGTATCAACATGTTAAACAAGCTACGAGGATGAGGGAAGGGGACGTCCCCTCCATGCTAGATTTGATATTTACCAGGAAGGAGGAAGAAATATTTGACATTCAGTACCTTCCTCCCTTGGGTAAAAGTGACTATGTCTTTTTGGGAATAAAGTATGCAATGCGTTATAATCTGGAAGAAAATATGACGGTCGATGCAAATGAAAAACCTGACTTTAGGAGAGGACATAATGGCAACCTTAGAAAATTTTTTAGTGAGTATAATTGGACAGACTTGTTGCTAGGCAAGGAAGTGAATGAGATGTATGTCAGGTTTTGTGAAATATATGATAAAGGCACAAAAAAATTTATACCAAAACAGAGAAGCAGAACTAGGAAACAGGATTGGTTGAACAGAAAGTGCGAGAGGGCCAGAGACCAAAAAAGACAAAAATGGAATCAATACAGGAAGAGGCCGAACCCCCAAACATACCAGCGATACAAAGATGTGAGAAACAACTACACGGCAGTGAGGAGAGAGGCAGAAAAATTTTGAAAAAGGGATTGCAAACAAATGTAAAACAGAACCAGGTCTGTTCTATAAATTCAAACAACAAATTGCAGGTAAAGGATAATATTCAGAGGTTGAAAATGGGAAATAGATTCACGGAAAATGAAAAGGAAATGTGTGAAACATAAAACGAAAAGTTCCAAAGTGTGTTTGTACAAAATGAAATATTCAGGGAACCAGATACAATAAGAATTCCAGAGAACAACATAGAGCACATAGGGGTGTCTAGAGACGAAGTGGAAAAAATGCTCAAGGAGCTAAATAAGAACAAAGCAGTTGGTCCAGATGGAGTTTCACCATGGGTTCTGAGAGAATGTGCTCCTGAGCTCAGCATTCCTCTTCAACTGATTTTTCAGGCATCCCTGTATACAGGGATGCCTGAGGGGGTGATGTGGTGGAGGCTGACTCCATACACAGTTTCAAGTGTAGATATGACAGAGCCCGATAGGCTCAGGAATCTGTACACCTGTTGATTGACGGTTGAGAGGCGGGACCAAAGAGCCAGAGCTCAACCCCCGCAAACACAACTAGGTGAGTACAGGAGTTGTAGCTGATGT